CCCGCCTTGCCTTGCCCCCTCCCGCGCCCCGCCAGCGGAGCGGCCCCCGCCAGCCTGCGGGTCCGGTCGCCACACCGGACGCCTACAGCCACCTCCCAAACCGCTTATGGCCCACGTCGCCTCGCGCTGTCCCACGAGTGAAGTACCACGCGCTAACCTCAACGTTTTCCAAGCGGCTCCCGTACTGGCACGTATGCACCTCACCGCAAATGGCTGTTTGTTACCCCTTAGTCCCGTGCCTCGTTTGACAAAAATAAACAGAATTGGTAAGTAATTCTGCGTTCCTCCCAGCTGTCCGGGAAGAAGTATGTGAATTATTTCTTCCCGACGTCACCGCATTTCCCAGCCAGCTTCAACACAGCCCGAGCAGTAGTTGCACCACCGGTACGCCACCCTCATTAGCAGCCTGCTGACGTTCACGTTCTCGCTCCCCGCGGTCCCCCTTTCCCGAACGCAGCAAGCGAGCAGGGGCTGGGGACGAGCCAGCGGGGTGAGTCACCATCCCTGGAGGTATTTAAAAGGCGGGTAGATGAGGCGCTTAGGGACATGGTTTAGTGGGCATGGTGTTGTTGGGTTGATGGTTGGACTCGATGATCTTGGAGGTCTCTTCCAACCTTTAATGATTCTATGATTCTATGATTCTATACATTTCGGTTGCGCAATGGATGCGAATAGATGTCTGCTCGCAGCATTGTTTCGAACGTGCCTGAGACATACCAAGTGACCCCAAATTTTTGACTCTCAGTGAATTCCCTTCATACTTCCCACGCACGGGATTCACTTCTCTTTTTCTGGCTTTCTGGCCTATTTCTTGCCAAAGCATTGGAAAGAGAGTCATTCCAGCACCGGAGGTTCCTTAAGAAAGAACCATCTTCTTGTAAAATACAGACTGTTGTCTAAAAGATTTCACGTCAAGATTTTAGAGATACTAAGGGAAAATGCTGCAATTTAATCAATTTAAGTACTGAAGTTAGGAAAGTGATTAGTCTTGAAAATTCACACTCTGGTGAATCAATCTAAAAAGCGGGAAGTAGAAATTTAAGAGTGGAATGGGATAAACAAAGAAAGAGGAAGGCATTTCAAGGATATTGCTCAAGCACAATGCAGAGCAATATGGGGCACTAAGTAAGGAAAGGAGCACTGTGAGAAAGGCCTATAAAGAGGCAACTGAATGGCAAGACAATATTCAGTTTCTCGTTAAAAGGCAGTTTAGCTGTGGCCCCGTGAAATCCCACTCAAAGTTAAAAGTTGTACTTCACGCCCTCGACTCTCAGCTCCCCTCCTTTTTTCCTTCGGTTTTATGTGCTCACTGTGTTCCACCAGGTCTGGAGCTAAGCCACCGTCTTCTTTTGAAGCAGCTCCTCCTCCCTCACTTCAGCTGGCCCAGAGAAGAGGCTATCTGCTGCAGAGAGGATCAATAGGAACAGTTGTTTCTTACTCGTGATGCTCAGAACCGAACCATGAAGAAAAAGTTTGTAACAAAACTCTTGCCTCGCTGTTCACTGAAAAGGATCACAGCCAACTTTTCTTTGTAATTCACATGTGCCTACTCCCCAACCTCTGCCCCTGTTAATACGTGTGCCACCATCTTCTCACCCTCATCTGGAAGCATCACGCGCCGTTTGCCTTCCCCCTAATCTCATCTCTCCTTTCCAGACCCTTCCTATCACCCCTCCCACACCCCACGCGTGCACACACACATTTCTCTTTTCTTAACAGCTGATCTCAGCTGTGGGAAGGTAAACTGGGCGGTTGCCACACCCAGGGAAACACAGCTGGTAGGGGAGACACCACACATCCCCTTCTCCCTCACAGTGGCAGTTTCTCCCACTAAGAATAGAGATTTACCGCTTGCCTTTGTCTCTAACATCATGCCCTGCTCTTGCTTCTCGTGACTTATAGTCCTTCTCCCAGCCTTCTCTGTAACTCCATGTGCATCCCGAGAGCCGTCATTACTCTGAAACAGAAAGGTATTCAGCAGGCCTCAACAGTTACAGCATATATAGAAACTCTTCCATTTATAGGATGGCCCGAGACGTTATTTCAGACAGCCTACAGCTGTATGTCTTTTCCTTTTATTGGAAAACACTAACCTGTATAATCATGTAGCTTGCTAACAGTGCTTGAAAGAGCTGTCAGACTGTCGGGCAAGAAACAGATTCCCCACCCTGAGAAAAACTGATACCTCAATTAATATAGCCTAATGATAAATATAAATAATATTTTGTCTTCACATTAAGATGTCATCTAGATGAGCCTTTCAAGCCACAATCCCTATGATAATTAGACCAACACATAGGGAGTTCTGGGAATAAGCAACGTGTACTGGCATCTGGAATCAGGAATGATTTCATCCTTTTGAGGACAGTAATAAGATAACAGTTATCAAATTCAAATTAACAGCCTAGTGTCAGATAGAAAAATCGCTTCTGAAGGCCATTCTCTCCTGGGTTTTTCTAATTCGTATGCAGTACTTGGTATTACTTGTTCTAGAAGTACTGACCAAACACTGCTCTTAAGGTTTTGTGAGCTCAGAGCAACAAAAAAATAGACCAGCCCTGCAAAAATATACTCCTCCACACACCTGGGGAAAATAAAAATTTAAATTCTTTTTTTCATCAACATTGCCGTAAACGTTGAAGAAGTGGATTTTTGTGCCCAGCAATTTCTCATGACAACAGCGTAAGGCTGATTTAAAGTGCCGAGAGTCAGGTCATACCTACTCCATTTAAAACCAAGTAGTTTTAAAAGGAACATAAAAATCACTCAGTGTGCCGACTTATCCATTATGCAACTTAAATATTTAAACTGCAGATACTTATCTTCATCGTGAGCCAAAGCGGATTCCATCAAAGCTGGATTTATCACAATCTGGTTTCTATTTACTCTCGTGCAATGAATTCGATTTGCAATTAGCTCTTTTTAAAACTGACGCTGGATTAGTTTAAACAGCAATTCAGATCCAATTCCTGTAGGTCATAATGAGAAGCAAAATCCGATATTTTTTAAGAGTACTATGTCAAAGGACTTCCACAGGAGTATGTTTAATTTACAGTTTTCATTTAAAGCTAAGCTATTGAAATAAACAGACATGCATACACACAGCTGCTAAAATGAGTGAGGAGCTTATGAGGTCAAAGCCTTCTGCTATCACCTGGTCTAACACCACGATCTCAATGTGGTGTGGTCTCAAATATCCGCATCACAAAGGAAAGGACAGCAATCTGAACTCTTACTGAGTCCCCAGAAACAAGAGGACTGCCACGTAACCTGATTTTCCTTTCTAAGCATTTAGATTGGGGCTACTTATGTGGCAGATCAAGACCACACGCACATTTTGTTCCCACTTCACCACTATATAGGACTTAACTCCTACATCTGCAAGACACCCGTTATTTCTTACCATCTTTGCAAACCTGGAAAGCCGCTGAAGAGCACATCAATGACCGGCTGGCCCAACTGATCCGTGCACCACTAGTGTACCCCTGCCTCCTAACTGAATTCAGCAGAGAGGAACTAGCAGCCATGATCTAAACCTTTCAGCTAACACCAGGGCACGGCACGGCACAGCACAAGCATCCCAGTGGCATGACCTACCGGCAACAGTCTGCACGTAACACCGTTCTTTTTACTTTCACCACCTTAATTCCTACAAAAAGGTATGTTAAAGAAAGCTGAGGTTAGCCCTATTTTCTAAAACATGACAAACATCTTGTCATTATCACTTATTTGCCGTAACACAAAGGCTCAAAAGACCTAGTGTTTACCAATAAATAAATTATATTCAATCATATTACTAGATCATATAATACCCTCTGACAAATGAGACTTCAATTAATTAATTCTACCAACAAATATAAATACCGTTCTGCCTGTGTGTTAAGACCTTATCTAGATGAGCAAACGCACAAAGACCAAAAGAAGCACATATGGTATTATCTGCCCAAAAGCAAACGCATTAACCCAGATGCTGGGGCATCTGCCAAAGGATGATTCTGATCGTTGTCTTGCTTTCATCTCTGAAGCTCTGAGAGTGGAAATTCCCGCTCCATGGCATACCAGAGAACTATGGGACACCTTCCTACAGACTGGCCGGGCACTGCACAACTCCTGCACAGGTGGAGACAGTGACAGTCTGAGTCACAGAGGCATGAGTGAGAAGGGGGCCCACACAGATATCGATACATCCAGTGACACCTTTTCAAAGGCAAAGCCCTCCAGGAAAATCAGATCGTGTGGGGAGCTGAGAGGTTACCAAAGGTAAATAACTCTTTGGCATCATGGAGATATTCCCATCCCCCAAGACATCGCCCAGAAACTTTAATAGTACAGCAATATTTCACAGAAAGTTCTTCGACGCCAATATTCTAAAATAATTAAATGGTGCAATTACTTTTGAAAATTAACATTCCCTTCTCCTCTCGCCTCCAAAAAGCCCTGCAACTAGGGTACGGTTTTGGCCAGTCTTCCTTATTTGCTCGGATGCTTTCTGAGATCTCATTCTGTGTTAAAAGCCAGATCCAAAAATGGACTTCTGCAGAAGGTACAGTCCAAGTTCAGACATCCAGAACCCTCCCTTCATTCCCATTTAATTTAACCTTGAAGAGATGAATGTACTTCTAAAAAAACTACATGAAACCTGTCAGCAATTTATGAGCTGTAAGCATTTAAATAAGAAAGGATAAAGGTCAAACTAACAGCGCACAGCAAGACTTTTACTTCCACTTTGTCCTTAACGTGTTTTTGTTATGCCTCAGTTTCACCTTTCGAAGAGATAACAGACTGTAAAAGTGATTATACTCTGTGCTAAAGTGAAGCGTTAATTTTGATTTAAGCAGAAGTAAAATGAGCCGCAAGAGGATAACTGAATTTATTTGTTCCTTAACAATATTCACAAATAAATCAATTAAGCACCTGCAAATGCACATCAGACAACCCAATTCCTTTTAACTGGTGTAACAGCGGACAGCTGGATTTTACATTTTCAGTGTACCTGAAATTTCTCTAGTGCTACAAGTTTCATTAATAAAGTGCATTCAAAATCTTGACAAGACAGATGAATTAATATTATCTTATTTCAATGTAAGGTTTAGCCACTTAAATAGAGAAGACTTCCACCCAAACCTTTTAACATTTTCCTCTTCATTTTCCTTTGTGTCTGAATTAGAAGCCTCTTTGTTTTCCATCAAAGCTTCGTAAGTCTTTTGCGCTCGAACAATTTCTTTGTCTGCACTGAAGTGCACCATTTGTCTGCTCAGAATAGGAACAACTAAGTTGAAGTTGTCAATTCTTCTGTTTAATTTCCTGATATCTTCTATAAATTGCTCACAAATACGATTCCATTGCTTTTGCCTATATGGTGTCATTGGCCCTCCAAGCTTACTTCTAGATGCCACTATACTCCTCCTTAACCGCTCAATAGTTTCCCGTATTTCTTTCTGCATCAGGATCCACTCTGGCTGGTATCCGTTGTCGATCAAAATCCTGTTCAAGTTGTGAGTCATAGGGTCGATATGTGGACAGTCTGAAAATTTCTGCAAAGGTTTTCCTTTGCCACTGAGGTTGTCAAAGTCTCCTTTCGCCATCGATTCCTGGATGAGGTCCTCAACCAACCGTTCCACTGCCTGAGTTATTTTCACCTTTTTGCTCTGCTTCACATCTTTGGCTTTCATTAGGTCAGTCACAGCACGCTGGCTTTCAAGTCTCTGCTTCCGGTACTCCAACACTTGCTCAGTAGCACGGTCTACTCGAAACTGCATGTATTGCTTTTCTCTTTGGCTCGGTGTTCCAAAACCGACGCCTTCAAAACTCAAGTAGTGTCTATGCTGTGGGGCCTTTGGTTTGAACTGATCTTCCTCCTCTTCGTTATTCTCGTTTGCTTTCTTTTTGGTCGCCGCATCACTGAGCACGACTCTGTACGCTTCTTCTACTTTCATAAATGCTTCGGAATCAGCTGTGGCAGAACCGCTGTCTGGATGGTATTTTTTGGCAAGACTTCGATATGAGTTTCTGATATCATCAAGGGAACATCCTTCCTCAAGCTCAAGAATTTTGTAAGAGTCCTTGATGTTGCTTTTAGGTTTGTAACCCGACCACATCGACCACATTCTGTTCCCACAAATGTATGGAAACGGCTTCAGGTTTCTTGGAATCATCGCTTGACGTACCATTAAATGATGCCCTACGTTGTTAGTCAGCATGACACAAAGCCACTTTGTATTTCTTCAGATGCAGCTACATTATAAGCAATGACCTATAAACACATTTTTATAAAAACTGGGTTAAATATGCTTTTTAAAAGAACTTACAGGATTTAAGTCTTATCTTTAACTTGTTGTATTATTTAAAGAAATCCCTACAAAATTTCAGAACAGTATCCAACGTTCTTTTCTTTTACAGACTAATACTGAAATCTGTGTTTCTTATTAGTTACTACTGAAGCAGTAGTATTACAATGTAAATGAAAATTAATTCACAGTATAGTTTTCTCCTGGTGCAGCAGCAGTAGCATAGGTTTGTTTTGCACGGCAGAATTCCGAAAAGGCCAAAGCTTTGTTGCCTTTCTGCAAACTCAGTGTGATGTAAACTGGAAATACGCTTTATGCTGAGCGGTAACTCCGCTGAAACCAATCTCTCCCCTTTCCTCTACACACCTACGTTCAGCCATCAACTGAATTTTCTATTCACATCCATCAATGCCTCAAGATCTACTACCTGGTACCTTCTCAAAAGATTTCATTACAGTACCCTTTTGGTACTTTGCAGCAACAACTGAAGTAGCACTCAGATTATAGATTCATTTAGATTAACTCTTGTATCCCAGCAGGATACAGGGCTCTCGCATCCTAGCGGCCAATCGCCTTCGTTTGTGCCAGGTAAGGTTATAAATCTGGAACTCAGAACAGATCAACAGCAGACAGTATCCTGTTCTGTCATGAATACCAGTGCTTCTGAATGATTTTTGGGAAACAGCAAAAGGAACACCTTTAGCAAATGACAACTAAGTCTTCACGTAAAATCAAAAGTAGAAAAATGTCATACAAACTGCACACACAATTTACACATCAGCTAACTTCTCTTTATTAATGAAAATCCTAAGACAAATGCCACATACATGATGCTAAAGAGTCTGCTTTCGCAGATTCATCAGCGACTGCATCCTTTGCTGACTTCCTTTCCAAACAAAAAAATAAGTTAAATTAAGGTTAAGGAATAAATAGTGTTTATATGCTCTGCATATAACAAACTGCCCTTCTGCACTAACCCGCCTGAAAAGAGATGAGAAAGATGTACCTCGGACTGGATGAAAGATTGGATCAATCCTGAATATTTTCAGTTAATTTTGATCCAGGTAAGGTATTAAGTAATCAGCTCGTGGTTATTATAACGGACCTTATTAATATTTTCGTTTATGATACAGATGAGTGATTTCTCTCCTTCCAGGTGGTTGGCAAAGGTAGTAATTTAGTTCCAAATAGCCATAAAAATCCACGTAACAACTACTTGAATGGAAAGATCAATGGATGCTCTCCTGAAATTCAACATGCTGATCAGAAGCAGCCTTCCTCCCAATTCTGTAGACTTGATTTTAACATATTTGTGCTTAAAAACCTGTATCAAACCGTGCGTACAGCACTCACACCACGGCACCGGCGCCTGAGGCGAGATTTTTTTTCCCCAGCCGACTGAATTCCGCTCTCCCCGGCGGGGCTCGGTAAGGGGGGGGGGACAAGGCC